CATATTGACCCAACTGTGGAAAACTCGGCGCCTCGGTGGGAATCGAACCCACGTAGTAAGGCGAAGGCTCTAGTACAGCCAACGCTCTAACCACTTGAGCTACGAGGCCCCGCCGGACGACGCGAGTTTAATCACATTTGGGTCAAGTTACCTGCCCTACCTACTGCAACGTCTGCAATCCACCAAATCTGGTACAGTAAATTGACTGCCCAAGCAGGATTTCGTAAGTAATTCACTTAGAATCCACCAGATGACTACTAGGCTCACTCAAGTAGTTAGAGCGTTGGCTGTACTAAAGCCTTCCCCTTACTGCGTGGGTTCAAATCCCACCGAGGTGCCGAGTTTTTCACAATTTGGTCAGTATGAAAAGTAGAAATGTCGAAAACGCGAAAATTTGCGTGCAATGTATGTGAGTAACGCTAGCCCATTTGCATTTCATCTGACTTCACAAAAATCATCCAACAGAAAAGCCAAATGTCTAATTTCTCTGTCCCTTGACTATTGCTGATGCGCCTAGCACTTTCAATTATTGACCTAACTCAGCAACTTCTGCCACTCGCACAAAAAAGTGCGAAATACTATTCATGGCAGTTTCATTAACTAGGTGATAAAATGCCCAACGTAGGGTTGGCTGTATACCTCAAAATAACAAGAAGGAAATTAGAACTTCTGATATTTTAATTCTTCTGACCTTCTACCAGCAATTTATCACAAAAGACGCAAAACCGGTAACCCTGATCTTCCGTTTGAAGCTGTTCGGTAGATGACCGGTCTGTCACACTGCTGTTATAAATGACTGCCATATGTTCGTTTAATTCATGCTGTAAGAATAACTCCAACATTGAAAGCAATGAAGTCCCAATAAAAAATGGGTGTGCGCGTATCACAGACAACTCCGATTTTCGCAATAAAATCTCAGAAAACAACGACATCTTTTGAACCATTTATATATACTGTATGCCCTCGAAAACCGTATCCAGTAAGAAAGGGCGGGGGAGAATAGTCAGACTTCAATACAAAAGTTCTGCATCTACACTCCCTCATGGCAAACATAAACTATAGGCAATAAAATATAAGATAAGAGATAAGCAAGCGTTCAAGACCTACTCCATGTTGATTTTTTGGTAAGTGACAGAATTCAATTTCTTCGCAATCATTTTCTTTGAATTTTCTATTGCCTTCTGCAGTAACCAAAAGAGAATGGGTGTTTTAAGGGGATCCACTTCTTGAACACCAAACAATGCGTGTGTGCCACGAAATTTCCAGTAACAAAGAAGCAGGTCATAAGAAAATTTAGAGAAAAGGAGGCACTGTCCAGCATTTTCAGTACCTGCAAGTACTGGAACGAGTTGCGCTCCAATTCTTCAACGAGATTTGATAAACCGAGGCAAAGGGCTTTATGCGCATCTACTATCGTCCTGTGGAATGAAAAATTGCACTGTTAG